TCATTCTTAAACAACGTAGGATTCATTCTCACACAACTGTTCATCACAATGTAGTGTTCATTCATAGCCAGCGAGACGACAACATAGGGTTCATTTTGAATCCACGTAGTGTTCATTCTAAGACATTGTAGGGTTGATTTTCACACATTTGTTCATTATAAACGTAGTACTCATTCTGAAAGAACCTAGTACTCATTCACAGTTTGCTTAGTGCAGTGTTCATTCTGAATTAAGGTGGTGCTCATTCTCAAACAAGGTGGTGCTCATTCTGATGCATGTCATCTGACTGGAGTCAATCCCTATATATATATATATATATATATATATATATATATATATATATATATATATATATATATATATATATATATATATATACATACATACATACATACATATATATAGATATATTCCCTCCATCAGCCGAGGCACTGATTACATGCCTTAATGAAAGAAAAAAGATAATATGTTATAGTCTCACCAGAAGAATGTGGATCAAAGCCATGTAAATTTACATGGTGATAAAGGGCATCACAAATATTTGCTAAAGCCCAGGAAGCTATTATACGGACCTGAAAGGGAAAGCAATAAGAATACAAAGGAAACAAATCACAGGCACGATAAGGAATAACTTACAGATGCTGATGTATCCCGGTTATTGTGTTCAGCAGCATAGATGAACTTTTCAAAGACCTCTACACTATACAATGGAATAGTAAAAAAACTTGCTCACTTGCCTGTAGAAAGTAGACATTTAAAAAGATAGAGTTACCTGTCAAATATTTATGGGAAGCAAGGAATTACACCAATGGCAAGGCAAGCAGCCATCCTGACTGAAGGAGCATCATCAGTTAGAGCAGAGGCGATCTACAAAGATGACAATAAGTATCACTAATCACATACTGCCAATCTTGGGTCATTTTTTATCACAACTGTTTGTTGTCGAATACATCCAAATGGAAGGCAAGTGCAACAAGGAGCGCCACTAGCCCTTTTTGAATGGGAAAAAATCTATTAAAAAAACTTGGGTATCACAAAAAATAAAGCAACGCATAATTGGACGATTGAAATGCTTACAAAAGAGTAGAGAATGAATTCCTGTTTCGCTTTCGACAAAGAGAATAATATAGAAGATGTTATTCCAGCAAAGCACGTCACACACACACACACACACTATATATATATATATATAGATATATATATATATATATATACATATATATACATATATATATATATATATAAGGATTGACTCCAGTCAGATAACATGTTTCGGTCAGATGACACTTTCGGTCAGATGACAACGAATGCTCATTCTGAATCAATGTAGCGCTCATTCTTAAACAACGTAGGATTCATTCTCACACAACTGTTCATCACAATGTAGTGTTCATTCATAGCCAACGAAACAACAACATAGGGTTCATTTTGAATCCACGTAGTGTTCATTCTAAGACATCGTAGGGTTGACTTTCACACATTTGTTCATTATAAACGTAGTGCTCATTCTGAAACAACCTAGTACTCATTCACACTCTGCTCAGTGTAGTGCTCATTCTGAAATAAGGCGGTGCTCATTCTCAAACAAAGTGGTGCTCATTCTGAAGCATGTCATCTGACCGAAAGTGTCATCTGACTGGAGTCAATCCCATATATGTGTGTGTGTATATATATATATATATATATATATATATATATATCTTAAGAGTGGTTCTCTTGAGTGTGAGTTTTAGGTTCTAGTTATTTAGATAAGTGAGTCATATCTTATTTAAATACTAGATTCAATCTCAAGTTAAGATAAGAGTGTGTAATATCTCTTAACCCCAACTTGGCATTATCCATCCCTGATTTCTCCGATTTCATATCTCCCCATTTCTCCCTTTTACCTCACTCTTTTCTCCCATTAAATACAAAAAATAATCCTCCCTTCCTTCCCAATAATTCCACCCTTCCATCCCCAGCATATCTCCACCATTTTCTACCCATAGCACAAACCTAGTAACCTTGATAATCAATTATCCATCTTCGATAATCGACTATCTTACACTGCTGAGTTCCCTTGGCAGAAACAGCATACCCAAATAATCGATTATCAAATTTTGATAAAGCTCAACGCCCTACAAGGAAGTGATCATGAGGATGACGCTAGCACCAGCAGCACCAGTAAAGTAAAAACTAATGAAGGTTCTGACTTCAAGGTTGATATCCCAACTTTTGAAGGAAAGAACGACCCGGACGAGTTTCTAGAATGGCTAGAAATGGTGGAACGCGTCTTTGATTTCAAAGAAGTTTCCAATGAAAAGAAGGTCAAAGTTGTGGCCTTGAAGTTCCGCAAGAATGCATCCACTTGGTGGACTAATACGTGCACCAAAAGGAGAAGAAACCACAAGGAGCCGGTGGTCACATGGGCCAAGATGAGGTCCCTCTCGAAGAAGAAGTTCTTACCCGCTGAATATGTTCCTGAGAAGTTTGCCAAGCTTCAAACGCTTAAGCAAGGTTCCAAGTCTCTTGAAGAATACAACCGTGAGTTCGAGGAACTCTTATTACGATACCTATTCCGCTTAAACTTACACATAGCCAATACGATAGAGTTGCAAAGTTATGAGTCCCTAGAAGAACCTCCCAAGTTAGCCCTTAAAGTCGAAGCACAAATAAAGAAATCCAAAGCCCTTCTCTCCATAGCCAACTCCCCATACACTCGCGCTAAAAAGAAACTCCCCATACACTCAGCCCAACCCTAGTTTCCAAAAACCAAACTACCTTGTTATATCCGAACCGTGGGTCTTATCATTTAAGTAATTTGATGTTATACTCGAGGCTCGAGGGTGTGGGTATTAAGTTCAAAAGCAAGGAGCAAAGCTCTTCAATTTGCAGAAAGGGTGGATAATCGATTGTCTATCTTAGATAATCGATTGTCAGATGATGCGGTTTCTTGGATATTCAGGAGGGATTGATAGTCGATTATCAGTATGGTGATAATCGATTAAAGAGGGCTGCAGGTATTTTAACAGAGGAATGATAATCGATTGTCAAGGATGATAATCGATTGTTATGGTCTGCAGGTGTTCCAACGGAGGGCTGATAATCGATTGCCTCAAAGGATAATCGATTATTTGACAGAATTCTAGGCAGGATGAAAGAGTTTTTTAGGTATTTTAATGGAAGAAAAGAGTAAGGTTAAGAGGAGAAATGGGGAGGTATGAAAAAGGAAGAAAATCAGGGATGGATAAACCAAGTTGGTGTTTAAGAGATATTATACACATACACATGCACATGCACATGCACATGCACATGCACATGCACATGCACATGCACATGC